ATAATATTTTTTTAAAAGAATGTCTGGAGAAATATTGTTGAAGGTCTAGAGGACAACAGAGGAAAAGAAAGAATAAGAAATTTATGATATCTGTATTTGTTTGGTAATGTTTTCAAGTATAAAATTCAATGTATTTAATTTTCATACAGTATCCAGTACAATTGGTACACCAAACTGGGGGGGTATCACTGCAAAATACATATATTAGAAGACAGTTTTAGTGTTGACCCATAATTTTATTTTAGTTTATCAAGACTGGGTAATTAAGCTCAGAAAACAGGTGATTGAGAATTTAATAATGATTGATGTCAGTAAATTTTAAATAAAAAAAAAAAGTAAAAAAAAAAAAATGTGGACTAATAAGTCAAAAATGTAGGCTGGTGACATCCTCTAAACATTTAATCTTTAAACCCAGTACCATTCTTGTTTAATTTTAAAATTTAATTTGAATTAGTCATAACTTATACGTGTAATAAATATTAAATTAATTTTATTTATCATCAACTTCAAAATAAAAACTTTATATCTACATTTATAAAAGAAATAACAGAAAAATATATAAATTATATATTTAAAATTAAAATATTTCTCGTTCAAAAATTTACCACATTCTCATGAAATTAAAACTTTTAACTAAACTTTATCCTAAAACATTAATAACACAAAAAGTAAGTGGACATAAACTTTTAGTGTGAGTGTGTGTGTGTGTGTGTGTGTGTAGTACCTAGGACAGTTCAATAATGGAGGCAACAGTGGATTTGAGTTGTAATGTTCATCCAAAAATGGTATATTCTGTATTAGCTAATGGAGCATTTTGATGGTCCTTAAAACCCCCATAAATAATTAATATTCATTGGCATTGGATTACAGCTAGTGCAGAAGAAGAACTTTATTATTTATTTTGTTTTTTTTAAGGTAAAAGTAGACTGAGTCACCATGTAACATATCATGTCTATGTGGTATCACCATACAACATATACATATAATCAAAATTCAATTATGTGTCCAAGGTTCAAATAGATGGGCAACTAAACTCCTCTGGCCTGTAGTGCAAATATCATTCAAAGCACTTTTATCTTCTTTCTTATATGTATAGATCTGCACTTTTTCTTGAACATACATACATACATATATATATATATATATATATATATAAATTGAAGATACAGGGTCAGCTTTATATGTATATTTCTTTGGCTATATCATGACCACGATGTTAAAGTGGGAGTGACTTATTAAACCATAATGCGGTCAACGTGTGGGTGACCTGCTCGAGAAGTAATCATATATAGACATTAATTACAATCATTACACACTATCTCACCCTTAAAGTATGTATTCAGGAGAGTTCTTCTTTTCTTTAAATTTTTTTTTTAAAAAAATAATGTGTTTTAATAATTAGATATGATGGGTACATGCACTAATAATAATAATAATAATATAACCATTAATATCATCTTTTTCTCAATAATAATACATATAAAATGCATAAATCAATTTGAATCCATTATATAGAAATATAAAATTATTAATCATCCAATCATATCTGATATTGTATGATTACATTAGACCATGTTTGATTATGTCCACACATTTTGAAAAGAAAATGTTTATAAAAAAAAAAAAAAAAAAAAAAAAAGATTCATGTGCGCTGCCCTAATTTATTTCACATTAATGGTAATATAATGTCTTATTTCAAAAATTAAGAAAAACATAGGAGACTAATCAATTCAATTAAAAATATAGAGTAATAATTGTAATTACAGAGTGTTAGTGTTAATACATACTAATCCAAATTAAAAGTTGAATTGGGTAATAGCAAAAAGTATAAAGAAGAACAATCCTCATAAAGTCTAATATCTTTAGTATTTGATATTAAATCCAATAACAAAAGTAAAAAATAGAGAAAGAGAAATGGAAACCTGGGTATTAATCCTAAACTTATATTTCCCTGTTCAAGAAACCCAATTGAGAATTTTTCAATTATCTCTAAATAGTGTATGCCTACTGATTTTAATTATAATGTAATTCATTAATTTAAGTGTTTGTTTCAGTATCACCATAAAAATACACTTCTACAAAAATTTATTAATCTCTTTATAAAGATTAAAACAATAATTTAATTTTTTTTATTTTAATTATTCTTCAGGTCAAATTGATTCTTATATTTTTAAAAAGTTTAATGACTCACTATTATTATATTTAAGTGTCTAAATATCAAATTTGAAAACGTACGACATTTTTTTAATATTCTATCAGTATATATTAAATGTCACGTGATATTTAAATCGGTGAATTTGACGTAATTTTTTTAATAAATTATTTTTTAAAATTTATGAATCGATTTAAATTTATTTGTATTTAATTTTTTATTGAATATTATATCAGATGTTGTATAATATCTAACGTACTATTCAATTTATATAGTAGTCAATCAGAATGTCACGTATCATCAAATTTGATACATCATAATAAGAAAATAGATTAAATCAAAAAAAAAATTTTAAAATATAAGAACTAATTTAACTTAAGAATAAGACATAAAGTAACTTAAATAAAAATTAATAGTATATCAATTAAATTGTTATTTTAATCTTTTATAAAGTTTAGAGGTTAACAAAAAGATTAAAACAATTCCTAGTATGAATAAGTGAGACTCTTTTCGAGGTTTGGTTAAGAACAAAATTATCCTTAATGATTTGGACATTATTTTTTTCATCTTTTTTTTTTAAAAAAAAATAATTCATTTCATTTCAAGTTTGTATTTATAGTGGATAAGTGAAAACTAAGATCTAAATTTTTTAAAGTATATCTAATGACTATTTTCGTGTAAAATATAATTGTAATGTAAATCAACCTATACAAGTTAATGTGTTTGCAAGTTAAATTGATTATTTTTCTTTATAAACCAAAAATGAACTATAAAAAATTATATTAAAATTTCCTCTAAAAAAAAAAAAAGAAAAAAACATATCTTCTTCAATGTTCAACATTCACCTTCTCTTCTCTTCAAAGTTATATAATTTTTCCTCAATACTCAAAATTTTAAATTAACCTTCGTAAAAACTTCACTCATCTTAAGAAGTTGGAACATAATTTTCTTGATCAAAAGCATTTTTAAAATTAATTTTTTTAGATAGTTCATGCCTCTAACCTTCTTGCTTGATGTATCGATTTAGTATATTAAGTGTTTGCTGATTATGCAAATTAATGCTTTAAATTTAACGAAGAAGCATTACAAATAACCAACAAATTAGTGCTAAAACACATAAACAAGAAAAAGATAGATAAACCAAAATGCAGTTTATGAATTAAACTTTTCCACTTTATTTTATTTGGGAAGGTAATGGAGACATGATTTCGTCCATGCTTGAAAAAGCAACATCACATTATGAAAAAAAAACTTGTTCAATTCTTTATATCTTCTTTTACCCACTTCAATTTGCCCACCAATTTGAATATATATATATATATATATATTTTAATGTGGGTATTTGCTTAATTATTTGATTAGAATCAAGTGAGAAGGTGTGTTGTATAGATATATGTTGAAGATTTTAATTAAGGACCTCAGGCAAATCCCACTAGCTAGAAATAAACATTGATATATATATATATATATATGTTGTTTGTTTTCTTCATTATTAATTCATGTATTTGAGCATATTTGTCATGTTATTAGAGTGTGGACAATTAAGTGGCGTACAATTAAAGACCAAAAACATGCACTAATCTTTTGACATTTACAGGCAAATTCATGCACATAGGCCTAAAAAGATTTCAACTTTAATCTACCCTCTGTTTTTCTTGTGTGTATGATTGATGATTGTAATGGGTCCTCTCTATTTTTTTATTTTTATTTTTTGCATGCAACGTATATATATATATATATATATATATATACATACATACATACATGAATAGTAAAGGTTATAGTAAATTGACAATTGACATGAATTATTTAATGGGTTTTGGCCTGTGAAAAAATAAGAAACAGACAGCACGATTCATGGCGGTCTGCTTGTCACCATGGTTGCTTTGAGTTGTATGGAATCATGCAATTTGGTTGCCTCTGTTTTTCCAGACATTAAAAGATCATCATGACCCAATCTCTCTCTCTCTCTTCAACATCTGCTTCCATCACGTGTTCTCCTTTTTTTATAATTAAAAAAAAAAAATTTATCAATCAATTTTTGCGTAATATATCATTTTGCCGACGGAAATAATTCTTATTAATTGAAAAAAATTCTCTCTCCCTCTCTAATTCAGATATGCTTAAATTCAATTTACGATGCAATAATTTTGTTTTCCTTAAATTAAGGAATATATATATTTTTTCTTTATTTTATGAATAAAAAATGTTGTTCTTCATGTGGGTTTTGTCGTCTTAATTTCCGCCTTGTTAAATATCAAGATGGGAAATTTTTTTTACATGTTTTCTTTTAAAAGATTATTTTATATTAATTTAATTTAATTTAATTTATATTGTTTAAATAAAACAGTTCATGAATTAACTCAGGAGTCTCGTCTCTCTTTTTTATTTATCATTAGTAAATAAATTAATTAGTTGAATTATGTACCGTTAGTGAATAACATTTTTTATACATTTGTTCAATTTTAAACTTATTAAGATCAAGACGGCACATCATGTGATGTGTAAGGATGTTAATTGGATAAATAAACAAAATATTTAATTAAAAAAAAATCCAATAAAAACTAGTTTAAATCTATTGAAACTTTGATTAGAGTTCAATACATACATATATGGGCTGGAATACATACGGCCCATTATTGGAGTTCAGGTCATTTGTTTCTGCATTTGCTTGAAATATACTTTATGAAATTTTTTAGTATCTCTCCATATATTATACATTTTGGTTTTTAAAAGATTGAGGATTTGGATTTGGAAAATGGTTTATTTTAATTTGATCAACAATCACCTAACGTTGCCACTTGATTAAAGCACGGAAATTTAAACTCAAAAGCATAGGTTAAACATGTAAGAAAATTGCTTTTATATTCAACAAATTAATTTAGAGGGTAGATGGTGCAAGACTTGTGTGTGAATTAACCATGTTCCTTTTACACTGAGAATGTAAATTTTGTGGAGAGCTTACTCCATCGGTAACAGAAAAAGGTCCAAGTGTAGTAACACCCAGAATGAAGTACAACGGGGGAAACTTCAATTTACTGACTACTGTCCAAAAATCACACTGATGGGAAGAATTTGTTGAGATTGAAAGGCAAAGAATAGAATTCTTCGCTTCTCGTATCTGTTTTGAACGACCGGAATCTGTCCCACCAGTGCATACCTCGATCCTTCCTCGTGCTGCTGTCCTTTCCGTGCATTGTCACATCTAAGAACATAGCCAGAAAGCCGGCAACAAATGCTTCGGATGATAAAGGTACGTTTATCATGTCATTGAACTGCAAAAACCAGGAGAAGTTGAAACAAAAAAATCATTAATCCTCCCACTCTTCGTGTTTTTTTTTGCGTAGAAGAGAGACACAATAACTTTCAAACTCAAATTATTAGCCTTAAATAAATTTAAACTCAAGTTATTAGTATATTACTTCAACTTTTATACGAAACTCAACAATTACATAATCTTCTTAATACGGAATTAGAATATTGAATATATTGCTTACCCATCTTGCTCCAGTGTGAACTGGGCCATAACCATTAATTGCTGTATACTCGTTGAAGTATTGTGCTATTGACAAGCCCATGAAGACAGAAAAACCTAGTACAAACTTTGTTCTGAAGCTATTTAGGTTGCAGAACTGAAGGAAACTTAGCCCGGCTGAACCTGCGTGTGATAGATAATCAAGGACTGACTCTCAGGTACTTCACATGGAACAGATTGATAATAAGTTTTCAGGATTTTGCAAGACATACCCACATACGCAAAGAAAAGACAATATAAAGCTGCTATGATCGGAGCAGGAATCGAAGCAAAAACAGCCCCAAATTTTCCTGTTTATCAAAGGACATGAATTATTGATTAAGCATGGAAAGAAACAGTGCATATAGGGAGAGGAT